TCAAAAAAAAAAAAAAAAAAAAAAAAAAAGAGGTAGGGAGTCTGGTAATAGTTGGCAATTTTGAACCATTTGTAATTTCAGATAAGGTAGTCATGGAAGGCCTTACTGAGAAGATAATAAAATAAAGACCGTAAGGAGCTGAGGAAGGGAACCATGTGGGAATCAGTGGAAGGAAAAGCAAATGCAGAGGCCTGGAGGCAGGAGCATATTTGAGGAACAGTGAGGGACCCATATAGGTGGAGTACAGTAGGTGAGGAGGTACGGAGCGAGGGATGAAGGAAGGAAGCAGGGTCATGTGGAACCCTGTGGGTTATAGCAAGGCCGTGGGTTTTATTTTGAGTTAAATGGTAAGCAGAGGAGTGTTGTAATCTGACCTGAAGTTTCAGAAAGACCATTCACCTATGTTTTAAGAATAGATTGAAGAAGAAAAAAGTTCAAAAACAGGGAGGCCAACAAGACTCTTGCTGGAGTAATCCAAATGAGAAAAGGTATGGGCCTTACACGGTGGTAGAAAGGTTGAGAAAAGCTTAAACATAGAATTCAGGATTCTTGATGAATTGAATTTGGGCTGGGAGGCAAAGAGAAGCATCAAGAATAGATAACTCTAAGTGGTGTGGCCTCCGTAATGGGGAGAATGGAGTTGCTGCATCTTGCAATGAGGGTTTGTTTCTGCATTCTGGATAAAACCGAGGGAGGGGTCACATGCTAGGGAAGATAGTTTTTAGAATTACTAATGCAAAAGCCTGTTAGATATTTAAGTGGAGAAATAAAGTATGTAGTTAGCCAAATAGTCTGAATTTTTTACAAAAAATTCAGGGTACAGATAAAGCTTGAAGAATTATAAGCATTGTTAGCAAAGTAAAAAAAAATATATATGATCAACAGCGTAAGTGTGTGAAGAGTCCATGGTTGAAGTTTGAGAATTCAGTGTTAAAAGATCAGGGGAAAGAGGTGAATTCTTTAAGTAGTAAGAAGGAATATCTAGTATGATAAGAATAACGAAAGGAACCAGACAGTGCTCCCTGTATCCCAGATGACACCCGGCACATAGAGAAGCTCAATAAATAATAATTTTTTTTCGGTACCAGGGATCAAACTCAGGACCTGGTGCTTGCAAGGCAGACACAGTACCAGTGAGCTAAATCCTCAGCCCTTCAATAAATAATTCTTGAATAAATGTTTGATAAAGGGAACAACCAAGAAGAGTGGGTCCTAGAAACCAACTAAAGAATTTGAGAGGAGTGACTAAAATTTAATTTAATTTAACTTAAAAGGAGGAGCATAAAGAGCCACAGACTGACCAGATAAGGTGAGAATAAAAATAAGCTTTTGGGACTGAGCAGATTGGGGATCAGTGGTGACCTGACAAGAGCACTTTCTATCAAATTTCAAGAGAATATAGTGAGAGAAATTGGATACTGATTTTAAACACTCTTTGAGTTTTGCTAAGAAGAAAAGGAAACAAAAATCATTGCAGATGCTCTTTTTGACCTGTTCTCATCAATAGAAGCTGTTCTCAAAGATAGAAAATGAGAATTCATGTAGGTATAACTGAAGTAGTGTAGAGTGTTAATTTGACTTGAGCAAGTTGTTACTTACACTGAATTTTTAATAAAATTAAGCTGGTGATATTATCAAAATAAAAGCCAAATACAAAAGAAAAAACGGTCAATGACTAAAGTGAAAATTTTAATTTAATGAAGACGGACTTCACAGTTATAATGACTCATTTAAAAGAGACAAATATAAAACGGCTTCATATTTGTATAGGAACTTATAAAACTATTAAACTATTAAAGAGATGGAGTTCTGTAATTCTGAATTACAATTGATTGTCACATGTGATTGGAGACACTTAAATAATTCTTCTTAATTCTTGTTTTGATAAAAACATTTCTCTGGATCCGAGGATTTGGCTCAGTTTTCCACTGCTAGCCTCATAAGTGCAAGGGCCCGAGCTTGATCCCTAGTACCAAACAAAACAAAACAAACAAACAAACAAAAAAACATTTCTCTGAGCACAATTTAGAGAATAATGGGTAATACTTAAAAATGCGTGCAGTGTGCCAGATACCATTTTTGGCTCTTCGGATGCATTATCTTTTATTCCTGATAATAACCTAAGCATTATCACCATAAGTGGAATATAACACACAGATAGAATAGGTAAGTTGTTCAAGGCCACAGTGAGAGAGTCGGGATATAAAGCCAGGTGGTCCACTGCCGAGCCAATGCCCTGGATCTCTGCACTCTACTGCCTCCTGCCATGTACACAGTTTCCGATTTTTAATACTGTTATTTTGTCCATTTGCTAGAAAATTGCCTCATATTCATATTGAATAGTTGTGTGCAGTGACTAATTTGGAGGTAATGCCTTTTTCTAGTATTGGTATTTGTCACGTTTACGTTGCAGGTATTGATTTTTTAATTGAATAGCTCTAGAGAAACAGAAAATTAGACATGTTATATTTGTCCAAGAATTGCTGTTAATTATACAAGTCATACTTTAAGAATTATTTGTTTGAAAAACAGAACTATTAAACTTTTCAGAGGGTATTTTAGGAGTGGTGATGGCCATGGATCAAATTACAGAGTTTTACTTTGTAGTGTGTGTATGTGTGCATGTGTGTGTATTTGTATACAGTGCATATATAATGTACATAGAAGTTTAGTTACCTAAGCCAACCTTGACTTCGTATCAGTTTGATGTTGTGCCCTCATACTCTTGGTAAGAAAGACAGAGAAGATCAAACTGCTCATGGGTAAGAGATTAGTAAGTAAACTAGTAAGAGATGCCACCCCCCCCACTCCCTGTTGTGGTGGGTTAGACCACAGTAGGCTTAAAAGAAAAATCACCAGCAAGAATTCCTGGGAACTTCATTGTGCAATCAGTTGCATGTTCCTTTGGTATGCAGTGTGCTGACAGAGGACTTCTACCCAATAATTCACTCATTTCTTTAATGTTTATTCTGTCCCCAAAATTTTGTTATCCACCGGGCAATACACACAAATAATGCTAGGTCTTTTCCTTTTCTTGGCTTTAAGATCTGGAAAACAGAGAAATGTTCAGTATTTGAATAGCTTATTTAAACACACACACACACACACACACACACACACACACACACACACAATCCTTCAGCTGATTTGCATCCACAAGGTGCAAGTTACCAAAGAGCTAAAAAGGAACAAGTAAAAAACAGTTAGATGTGGGATTTAAATTTTAAGTTAGGCAGCTCAAGTTGAGTGCATTAGTGACAAATGATCAAGGAAAATGAAAGGATTGTACTTGTGTTAAGCTGGCATTGTTTAAAAATCTTTGTTTCTGTTGGTTAGTGTATTTGTGAATTGGAATACTGTTGCTTGGACCTTTTTCTATTGGATTTGCTAATGGTTAATAGATAAATACTTTTCTTTTATGGAACATGCTTTGTAGTGTAATCTAAGTTTCCTTTCTTTTGGCTGCTTTAAAATGAGAGTTAAGTTACCTTTCTACCATTAGTTGTGATGGTACCATTTTAAAATACTAAAATTCCATTCTTAGTTGATTTGATATTAGTACCAAGTGTACTAAGTCACGATTGCATTTAGAATATATACTCTCGCTATATATTTTGAAGTTTAAAATTTCTCTTTATAAAATGCTCATTTCCGTTGTATTGGGTATGTTTTATCCTTTTACAGTTCTTCAGCACAGTTAAACTTCTCTGTATTGAAGTGATTGTGTTATTTTAGTGATCTTAAAGTGTCTTCTTATTTTTTTCAGGGTCTGAAAAGCCCTCCCGAGAGCTTCAGTGATTTTGGTACCCTTGAGAATCTCCGGGTCCCTGGAAAGGTACTGACAGTGTGTGAGCGTGGCTTCTGTTTCCTTAGGATAATAATTGACTCACAGACCCTTCTGTCCTACAGGCGCGTGGTTGCTGTGATAAGCTGTGTGAATGTTTTCATATGGTAGGGGTAGCACTTGCTTTTTACTTCCATTTCTCATTCAGATGCAGTATGATTCGTTATACTAAGGTAGAAACTGTAAAAATTGGTAATTTTTTTTTCTCATTGAGTTTATTGGTACATTTTAGGTGTACAGTACAGTTACATTCATCATTGGGATCTTGTACCTTTACATGACAGGTCTTGGTTCTCATTTTTTCCCCATTCCCCTGCCCTCCCTTTATCCCCTCCACTCTTCCCTATTTATGAAGACTTTGTTTCCATTTTTTCATTTTCTCATGTTTTTTCTCTTCCCTTATTTCCCCTACCCTTCCCACTTCCCCTACACCTTTAGCCCTTTTCTTCCTCTTTCAATTGTCAGTTATAAAATTTGGATCTTATTTACGCTTTTAGTTTTTCACACAAGGGAAACTATTCAGTATTTACACACGTGTGTCTAATTTACTTCACTTCAGAGTATGGCCTCAATATGCATCCATTTTCCCATGAATGACTCCACTTTCTCATTCTTTATGGCTGAGTAGTATTCCATTTTATAGAAATACTACATCTTTATCCAGTCTCCAACTGATGGGCAGTTGGGCTGTTTCCAAGTTTTAGCTATTACAAACTGTGCCGCTATAAACATAGGGCACATATATCACTGTGGTATGATTTTTAAAATTCTTTTGGAAAGATACTCAGCAACCGATACCTGGGTCAAATGGAACCTCTAATCCTAGTTCTTTGAGATATCTCCATATTGATTAAAAATTGGCAAATTTGCAGTTTATTATATGAAATTCGTACCCTGAAAGTATATATAGATGTATATATTAATTTGTACTTATTGATTGATCTGTAAGTAGGAGAAATAGGCAAAATAACTTACTATGACTTTTTATACTTTAAGATTCTGAGCCAGAGATTATAGTTAATTATATTTTTTGTTTTGGACAGAGATTTCTGAATAAGCAGCTAAAAAAAACATAATTTATCATAAATTGTGTATATCTCAAAGTTTAATCTCTGTGAATGTCTCAGTTTACAACTTTCACATATGTTTCCTGAAAACTAGTGGGCTTCCTCCAGGAGAATTATTACCCATTGTTTAGTCCCTACTGTGTCTCTGAGGGTTGTTACTCTGCACTGTGTTGTAAATAACGAGTCTACCACAGATAAAAGCTGCACTTCTGACTGTCTCTTCTAGGATTTTAAATTTGAGGTTACGTTTACAATTATTCTTTGTCTGGTGTGTCTGGCATCTTAATACATAGGGCTTGTCCCTCTTGCTCAGCAATCTAAAGCTTCTCTTTATACCGTAGTGCCGGTTGCTTAGTAGGATGATTTCCCATTTCATTGAGGCACCTTCCCCTCTAAAAGTGAATTTCAAATTTATTTCTATTCCTTTTTGTTAGGTCAGACCCAAACTTATTGTTTAAATACAATAAAATTCTAGCCATTCTATTTGCGTGAAGTGGTTCAGATGAAAACTTTAAGAGACATCTTTGAATAGTAGTTTTATATAACGTTATTCAAGACTATTGGATATGAATCAATTAGAAAATAAAGGCTAACCACATATCCTAAAAAGATCTTTATTTGACTTATGCAAAACATTATCATGTATTGTGAACATGTCTCAAGTTAGATTACTTTATGTTTCAGAAGCAATGTCTATATGAGAAAAAGAAAAAAATGGAAACAATCTTTGTAGATAGGGAGGGGTGGAGGGGTTGAAGGGAGGGCAGGGGAAGGGAAAAAAAGAAGAACCAAGATGGATTATGTAAAGGTGCAGATTTCCAACAATGAATGTCATTATATTGTATACCTTAAATGTACCTATAAAATTAATAAAAACAAAACAAAACAAAACCCAGAAGCAATGTCAAATGAATCTGGGACATTGGTCTTTGGCACATGCTGGTATGCCGAATGACTTAGATTATACAATAGTTGATAATCAAATGCCTAATACCACTCTGTGGATTATGTGTAGCCTCACTCTGAGAGCCTGAGGGGTTTCTCAAGTGCTAGAGGGCGAGCAGCACTTCTGCCTTCTTTCTGAATGGTTCTGGAAACCTAAGACTTGCTCAGGCCAGAGAGTGGCACGGCTGTGGTCAGCAGAGCGACTTTACTGTGGGTGGGGTCTGCAGTCAGTGCTGAGACTAACAAGGAGGAAGACTACAGTGGATCTTGGAATATCTTCAATGCTGTGTACGTTTTTCACGACTTAATATGACCTTATATTTAGATCATGTACATGTATTTTACGTATTTATTTCTTGTATAACAGTTACCACTTTTACTTACACTTTGACGTGTATATATCAATCATTTTTGATCCCTTTGATTCCTTTGATCCCCACCTTTACTATCTTCTCTCCTCTCCCTGCCCCATCTCCAAAATGACTGCCTCTCTGTTTCCTATGATCCTTCCCTTATTATGGTTTGGGTTTCTCATATAAGAGAAGTCATGCGATATTTCACTTCTGTGTCTGACTTATTTCACATAACATTATGTTCTAAAGATCCATCTACTTTCATGCAGATGACATGATTTCATTCTTCTTTATGGCTGAATAAATATCCCATTGTGTGTGTGCGTGTGTGTGTGTGTGTGTGTGTGTGAAACACTGTGATATTTTCTTCATCTGTTTTTCTGTTGATGGACATCTTAGCTGTCGTAAATCATGCTGCTATAAATAGGGATATGCAGGTATCATTATAGTAGGATGTCTCTGAACTTTGAGGAATATACTCAGGAGAAGCATAGGTGAAATGAGTCAAATGGAATTTCCATTTTTAATTTACTTTTGAGGAGTCGCTGTACTGATTTCCATAGTGGTTGTACTAGTTGATATCCCTACCAATGTAGATGTAGAAGTGTTCCTTTTTCTTCATGTCCTTTCCAGGATTTGTTGCTTTTTGTGTTCCTGATGTTAAACCATTCTGTTTTGGGAGGATGTTTTTTGAGTTCTTCTGGATATTGGTCCTCTATAAGTGACTTATTTTATTTAAAATGAATGCACAGTTTTTGATGACCTGAAATTTGATTTCATTTCATAAATTGATCTTCATTTACTATAGAATCTATTCTGCACTAGATTAGCAACTGGTAGTAAAGCAGTAAAAAGACAACCATCCTTTCAAAAGCCAGAACTTCCCTATTGTCAGGGGGCTTACTTATTTATATTCAGTTGAGGAAAGGCAGATAGTGAACGAGGTGATTGCAGATTATGGCCAGTACTGCAAAGCAAACTGGGTGATGAGATAAACTATAAAGCTGGGATTATGGACATGAAGTAGTGAATGAGTGTAGCCTCCAACCCCCTTTTTAATAAAATAGTACAATACTCTAGAAATTATTTTGAAGCTTGGGTTTTAAGTATAGTAATTTATCTTGCATGGAAAATGCTCCCACATATTACTAGGCTTAAAAGCAAGCTAATCAATGATTTTTCTTTGTAGGTATTTTTTGAACTTAATAATTTGTGCTATTTAAATAGTGAGTTTTTTATTTATTCATTTATTTTTTTGTGGTGCTTGGAATCAAAACCAAAGCCCTCTTGGGCTGGGAATTTAGCTGAGTGGTTCGGTGGCCTGCCTTGCAAGCGCAAGGACCCAAGTTCAATCCCCGGTGCCAAAAAAAAACAAAAACAAAAACAACAACAGCAACAAAAAACCAAAAAACCAAAGCCCTCTCCATTAACGCCCTCCCCTCATCCCTTTTTGGCTTTGTTTTTATTTTGAGACTGGATCTTGCTAAGTTGCCCAGGTGGGAATTGGACTTGCAATCCTCCTGCCTCAGTTTCCCTTATAGGCATGCACCGTTGCAAGTTTCCAGTAATTAATTTATGCTTGTCTGGAGAAACTTTTAAATATTAATTTCACTTGGCAGCACCATCTTGCTCATGAGTATATAGGTAGAGTATTTTTTTTTAAAAGTCACCCCTGCTCTTCATGCATGGGTCTGTTTTTTTTCTTTTTTTGGCTTTTTCATTTGTTATAGTATCTCTCTAAATTGGAATAAAGAACTGAAATATTGAGCTACTCATATTTTCAAGGAAGAGGTTACCTGGGAATGTGTGCAATGTGTGACTTGAAGGGGTCTAGGACAGAGGACAAGTAGTAGGAATATAGAATGAATCCTATGAAATGGCTGTTGACTTAGGTTAAAAATGGTCCAGTCGGGCCGGGGATTTAGCTCAGTGGTTCCAGTGCCTGCCTCACAAGCACAAGGACCTGAGTTTGATCCCTGGTGCCACCATAAAAAAAAAAAAAAGGTCCAATTATGGCAAGTTTCTTGTGGTTCTCCAGTCACTAGGAAAATAGTGAAGAAGAACAGAAGAACAAAGGGCACATAGGTGTATTTGGTAAGACAGAAAGAAGGTGTTGTTTGTTTTGTTGTGAGAGCTGTGCAGATAGTAAGGAGGAAGAATCTTAGAAATCATCTGGAACAATTTCCGAGTTTTTTTATAGACAAGATGGCATTGTGTCTGGTTATAAGAGCAGTTGTACGTCAAGTGCTAATCCATGTATGAGAAGTTTGAAATTTTGGTGAATGAAATAGTATAGGAAGTGGAAACATGATCACAGGAGTGGAGAAATAAGAAATAATAGGAACTATTCTAGAAATACTTCTGAGTTTTTGTTTGTTTTTGTTGTTTGGGAACAGGGTCTACTACGTAGCCCAGGCTGGCCTTGTACTTGCAGTAATCCTCCTGCCTCAGCCTCCTGAGTGCTGGGATTAGCCTGACTTGTTTTTGTTTATATACTCGTCCATTCTACAAATATTTATTGGTCACTTGCCTCCTCTGTAACACTTTCTGTTACACTGTATAACATTGTGGGATTTTATGCAGAATGTTTTCTACAGATTAAAGTACTTCTGTGAAATAAGATAAA